AATTCAAGCTATCCGTGTTATACTGTACGTTCATTTATAAATCACTTATGTCACAAATACTGTCGTGTCACAAAGTGAACCGAATAATGTTCATTTATGAATCAGTCCTCACACAGTGAAGCAGCATAACAATAACGAGGTGCTGAGGCTTTTATAAATAATTTCAAATAGCCTTGCAAATGGTTAGAGAAATCTTTGACTATGTACAGGCAAGAACTGCACAGCAGCTCACATTCTACTAAAATTATGACATGTGTCACTATGCCGTGGATTCGGGCTCTTAGCAATTTTGGGGGATGTAGAGTTATTCATATTGGTATCATCTTAAAGCTTTTTCACGTGTCTTGCTTTGGATGAAAAAAATATCCATTTATCTTGAATAGAAGTCGGGATATTTGCGAATGAAGGAGGTGGGGGTCACCTGGTTTCAAAGGTAAAATTAGTAAGAAAATGGTTTCCTCACGTTGATAAACTTTGACAAGTTCCTGATTTCACCACGCTGCCTCATATATTATAAGAAATTAAAACAATTCATTCGATGTTAAGGAAATGAGCCCTAACACAGTTTAAAATCATTCCAAGCATTGACAACTGTACATTTTGCACAAATCACACTCAAACAACTACTTCCATCGCCATCTAAAGCTAAGAAATTTTCACACAAGCTTGCAACTGCAGCACCAGGAAAAAAGAGAAAATAGGCCTACCACAAATGTTTTTCTCTCTGCAGGGCACACCCAAAAACAAAAGTACACAATTAATGTCCAAGTTAGCCAAAGCCAAAATCGTAAAAAAGTGGAAAAGTCTTCTACGAAAGCTAAAAGAAAAAAATAGATGTATTCCAAAACCAGATTATTACTACACAAGGTAAGAAAACATGTTCAATAACCATTGATCTTTCATGGTCAATTACGAGTAATGTAAAATAATTGTAAAGTTATTGTTGAAGTTTTTCACTCTGATCAACACTATTTAGGTCATATAGGAGGTGGGCTACTTTGTCCCTGCCTATCATGGTCAACATGGGAGAAGAGGGGTACAATGTCCCAATAGAAAGACACGGACAATAATCAATAAAAATTCTTTCCGCACGGAAATTGAACTGACGTCTTTTGCATGCAACAGCTGAGTGCCTAAACACTGCACCACAGACACCAATGTCAATAACATAATAAATAATCATTCAAATGACAGTAAACAACATGACACGGTATGGCGGACGGGATTCTAAGTGAGGTAGGCAACAGTCAACTGTGAAGGCTGAAAGAAATGGACTTCTTGTGAATCTGGCTTGGCGGAAAAGAGTAAATAATCAGATTCTGCTAAAGTTTTTGACAAGGCTGAAATATTCCATGACAACAATCATTTTCTAAACTGTATAGAGCATAAAGGAGTGTATAAAGGATGCAAGAGGCTTGAAAGAAAAGGTTCAATTATTTACATGTATAGTCAACTTTTCTTTTAGTTTTACCATCATTCTTTATCACAGAGAAAAGTGACCGTAAAGACAGGTATCTGCTATGAACAGGGTCTGAGTTATGACAACTTATTAAATGATGGTTTAAAATCTGAAATCTGATTTTTATCTTTACAGTTTACAGTTCATTTCCAGCAAAATTGCTTTTTATCATAAGAAGACCCTTTTGAATTGACGGAACTAGCAGTCAGTCCGAGGACAGGTTGGTAGAAAACTTTTGTAGCAAGAAGCTACTGTGAGCAAGCTTTGAGGCCAACTTGTCGCAAAAAGGATGACCGTGGTTGCGTTGGGCAGGGACCACTATGAGCAGGTTAAAAATATTGGAAAAATGCAAGGGTTTCACAGAACAGTGGCCGTTTTTACAGGTGACCACAATATAAAGAGGTAACCATTGAGGCAGGTTCGACTGTAATTGCTATTGCGAAAATGAAGAAAAAAGACTTCCTTCTCTGGGACAATTCAGAAGAATGCAGTGGCACGATTTACACACAATCTCACGGGAAAACTGATTTCCCAATGAATCGTCATTTTACAAGTGCAAATGTCCTAAATCTATCCTATGTCATGGTAGAGTCTGTACGTCGGTCTCATTTCAAACATGAATTATTCGTCTGAAATTTGATTATGACAAAATACATCATAACAATTGTGCTGTATCAGAATGCAATATGAGACTGGGTGTAGCAAATTTTCATAATACAGATATAATTTTCAAACCATCAATAAACGGCTACATGTAAATGGAGTCAGAGCAGCAATATTCTCAGAGAAGAATGTCTCAACTTAATGTAAACTCATTGCCATTTATAATGAAGATTTGCGTTCCTCTGTTTTTCTTTCTGTAATCAACAGATGAGAGAGAACATTGCACTCATCAATTATCATATTTCTATACATGTCTCCATAAATATTTTTACTGCAGTATAACACGGAGAGGTCGAACACAGAACACTCGAAATCACACATCTGTCGCACTGTGCCTGGGGTCCCAGTATTTTTTTCTTCTTTATCTTTGTAAGATATCCCTCGAACTACCGAGGCCGGTCCCGACAAATTCGAGCTATCCGTGTTACACCGTACATCTTAAGACAAAAGAAAAAACACCACAAATATATATGTACATAATGGCAAGTTCAATGAGGTACGATACAGACCAATAAGAGTCACATATCGGTAAAAGTAAAGTACCCTCCCCCGACCCCCCAATCCCATATCTTCATCACGCACATTGATGACTACAGTCAGCTGTTTCCTGTTTCTATAAGACATAGAATCAAGCCCACTGTGACCATCTACAGTGCCCCAAGGTCTGCAAACTTGTTTGGATTGGGGGGGGGGGAGACACTTTACTTTAACCCATACATCATAGCACCTTCAGCTTGGTGAGAATTGAATAAACCAAGGAAGAAAGAGGAAAGATCTTTGGTCTGTTTTTCAGGGCTCGTCAGCACACAACACTTTTCTTTTTGTCACATCTTAACCCCTTCACTGTTAAATCAGCTTTATAATAAAATAACTTTCAGAGAACGCATACCACCTCTGGCAATACTGTGAAGGAATTAAGGTGTCATGTTAACTCATAGCAGATACAGTTTAATAAAAGGAAAGGAAGCTAAGAGTGGTTATGATTGTAATATTAACAGAAGATATATAAAAATGTATTAACCTCGTGTTTACCGTTGCAACTTACATTGACAAATTGTAAGATCCTGAAATAAATAATTTTCTTACTGATCACATGGGATAAATCCACAATTTCACCTCAATTCAACAAAACTGACTATTCTCAACCTCCAGAAAGCACAGCTACACTACTACACTGAATATGACTTGCAGGTTTAAAGCATTACAAAGCTAATGAACAATATGACTTGCGTTCTCCTCAAAACGAACAAAAGGTACACCAGAACAGTGACAGGTTCCTCATGTGTTCTTTTATGGCTGTAGTATTCTTCACGTAGCCAAAAACATTGTACGTGATAAAATTCTCAAAAATGATAAGTTACCACAGTAGAGAGTATAAGAAGAAGTAAAGTACAGGGTACAAAACAAGTATGATTAGATAATGCTCAAAAGAGTCAAATGATATCTATCACAAATATTCAATATGTGATGAATTATTAGATTGTAATAGTATTAAATACATATATATTAATAAATACTATTGCAAATAAGATTGCCAAAGCTCAATAGAAAAAAATCCTCAACCATATAAGAAGTTAAAGGTTTCAGTTGGAAAGAAATCTGATTGTTATATAAATATATACACTGGAATTATACCCATCTCATCTCAGTCTGATTGTCATCACTGACTTTGGTGAACAACATAAATATTTATATACAGTAGAACACGGCTATAGCGGGACTTTTGGTTCCAGAAGAAAAATCCCGCTGTTGGCGAGTTCCCGCTATAGGAATGCAAAGGGGAAATTACCGAAAAATTCCTAAATACCTACACGATTACATCCTTTCAATATAATAATAGATAGCATTTGTATAACCCAAATCCCGCTCAACAGCAGGCACCATGCGCTTCACAATCTATACTAATCAATAAAACTTGCGCTTTATATTAGTCTTCCTTTTATTGTCAACTTCGTTGGTTATCTCGGCCGTTAATTCGAGTGAGAAGCAATTCCTTTAGTCTTTTTCTCGGTTTGTTGCTTGTGCTGTCTATCATACTGGTAGGCCTACTGTAGAACTGGTGAAGTGGATGTGTGCATATGCCCGAGCATCAACGACCGCATTTCAATTAATCAGGAATCACACACTACACCCTCTTCTCTTCTTTTAGTTGGTCACGTAACGTGTCTCTCCGCACCATCTCTCTCTCTGCTGCCTGCCCCACCTCCCTCATCACTGGACTGGCCTATCACAATGCCGCACGGCTGACTGCCTTTTAGGATCCTGCCTACAGCCCCCCACCCCCCACCCCCTTCCTCACAACTAGAGCTCGTTCGATCTCTCCCGCTGTATCCAAGTACTGGCCTTTACTTGCCCCGTAAAACCCGAGCACAGGTAATTGAGTTTGCATGTCCCGCTGTAGGGAAAGTCCCGCTGCCGTGGGTGCCGCTACAGTCATATTCTACTGCATAGATCTACATCACTTTAGGAGTGTTTCACGTAACGCATCTCTCAGCACCATCTCTCTCTCTCTGCCCCATCTCTTTCTAGGCCTACCGCCTACCCCACCTTTCTCATCACTGGACTAGCCAATCACAATGCTGCACCGCTGACTGTCTGTTGGGAGCCCGCTTCAGCCTCCTCCCCCCCCCCCCCCCCCCCAGCTAGAGCTCGCTTGATCTCTCCCGCTGTGTCCGAGTTCCGGACTTTCCTTGCCCCACTATATATCCAAGCATAAGTAATTGAGTTTACATAAGGAAAAAAAAGGGGGGCTCCGGTAAGGTCCCGCTGAACGGATGCGGGTGCCGCTCTAGTCATGTTTTACTGTATATGATTAAAGTGATAAAGACTTCTTTCTCTTAATAAAATCATAATAAAGAATTAACAAAAACAAAGCGCATTGGGCGTCTAAAGCTTTTGAGACAAGTGTACAAGACTGGATAGTGGTCATTCTCTCTCTCTATTCTCCTTCACTGGTGCGGAGAGGGGCCCATATTCTCACTCCCCAGGGTTCGTTTGTGGAAGAAGACTCAGACTCCCTCTGTGCATTCTCAGTTGCCCTTTGCTGCTTCTGTAGCTCTTTAATGATCTGTTTTGGATCGAGTTTCCCATGAGCTATTTGCTGAGTGTGCTCGTTAAACGGGAACACCAAATAAAAGTTCCCAACTTTTTTCCTCGCTATTCGGGTTAAAGGTGGTTTCCCATTTTTTCCTGGATTCTTCACCGAGGGAGGAAGCAGCTCTCTCATCTCCCTGTTCCGCTGCAGGCTCGACCGGAATGCATATGTACTGGACAGCTTATCAGCTTGGAGTTGTTTCTCCTGGCTGTCCACCTGCTGAGTGCTGTAATTCATTCCTTGATATTCCTCTACAGGCAAACGTTTGCAATCAGGGGAACTGTGGACCGGTCTTTTTAACAAGGGCGTAACAGGACGGAGTGACATCAGTTTACTTGAATATAACTTCCCTAAAGAATTCTCACCTCTACAAATAGGACTGTTACCGGTTTGCAGCCTTAGCTGCCTCGGGGTATCACCACCTAAACTAAAGCTCGAGTCCGTAAATATCTGTGACTGTCTCGAACCATCTTGAGTCAACGGCATGGGCGTGTCACATCTGCTTCCGTTAGAAAGCGAGTTTTGACTGTGTTGGTGTTGGTGGCTGCTGTCACTCTTTGAGGGAGCCACAGGCCGTGTGCCGCTATCATTTGGCCCACTGACATTGTTGTTACCATCCACCACACTGGACAGACTCGATAAGCCACTGTCTGACAGAAGTGATGCTTTCGACTCCACCTGCAACAAGCCCGCATCGGTTCGTACCGTCAAACTCCCACCATTATCATCCCGTTGCCCTGGCGTGGGCATTTCCTGCCTGCCCCCGTACGTATGCATCCGATCTCGGAACAAAGGGCTATCCCGATGAAAGAAGTTGTTCAAAGACTCCATACTGTTCGTCAGATCTTGGGGATTTTTTTTACTTGCCAGGTTTTCCAAAGGTTTGCTCGATCTGTATCTGTTGATGGGGGCGTGTCTCACAGGCAGAGCTCGATTTGGAGCAAAACTCGGTTTCTTACCCCGTCTGTGAATTAATGATTTTTCCGAATGGGCTGAAATGACAGTTGAACCGGAAGAGATTTGACTGCTTCTACTGCGGCTGGACATCCCTGGTTCGCTGTAGGTAGCTGAATTTTAGAAAAAAAAGGACATTTTATAATTCACTTAATAAACAGAGTGCAAGAGTGGGTGGTTGGCGGGTGCTTTGGTGTGGTTTGCTTCTTCTTTCCTATCACACATCTATCGTCCTTATCTCCCCTTCTTCTTTTTTACGTTTGTTACTCTCTTGTAACACCTCTAATCTTCCGGCGCTCAGATGACCTTATGCAGTTGCGTGCGCCGTAAAACCTCTACTAAAACTAAGAGTGCAAGAGAATTTTTTCAAGAAAAGAAAAAAAAAGGACATTTTATCATTCACTCAATCAACAGAGTGCAAGACACCATCCACAGACAGATCACACTGAAACTACCTCTCCTCTTCTGTAGCTACGTCCTGCAGGGATTTATGTATTCACAGCAACCAAACAACGTTCTCTATCTCATAATTGCTGCGAAATGACTGCCAATAATTGCTTTTACCTTAAAGTTTTAAAAATTTCAGGACCAGCAGAGCAAAATGTCAAGTACTCCCTCCCTTGTTTAGAGATAAAGTCATGCTACTGAAAATTTTCCAACTGCTTGCCGTGAACAAAACATTTTCGGGAGGACAGGGGGAGGGAGGAGGTTCACACTGATTGAAATATTATTTTCTTATTATCTTCAAAAAGGCCTTTCTTTCAGTAAAGGTTACCTACAGATGTACATTGTGTAACAAAATACAGCCATTCAGATCAAAAGTAAAGGAGAAGATGTAATTTAAAGTCGGAAAAATAAATATTTGAAAAAATGAAGTAAACTTTTTATATGACTTATGCATGGTCAAACTGGGTAAACATGGGGGGAAATTTTAATCATAGATGGCCTTTAGAGGCTGCTATTCTTATTAAAAATCACACAAACCTTCAAGACCAATCTTGTTTCCTCACAAAGTCATGTGTACAAAAGTGAATGTGTCGGTATAGAGCTGTACATTCAAGTTTTGTATTTTGAGTAAATAGAAGCACATCCACACAATAGAGGCCATTAAAAGTGCAGGAGGAAAGGAAGACAAATAAATAGAAATAACAAAGGGAAAGAAAAAAAATACAGGATTTCGCTCTAACCCACCCAAATATTTTGCGTTGCAAAAATTGATTGATGAAAGAGGATCTAATCTTATAACATGGACACAACTGCCCCGCCTCCTGTTCAACCAGCATTTCTGATGCAGCTGTTTGGTGCTTCACCATCACACGCAGGATACATGAGTTTGGTGGAGAACTGTCGAGTGACTCCACATTTCTGCTTAGAAGTTGTATCCCCCTTAGCCTGAACTGAAACATTCTGCATCCTAAAGAACCTAAAAAGTGTCAATCAATGGGGGTATAAAACTTTTCTGTTGGGATGTTGTATCCCTCTCAAGCCAGATCGAAGCAGCCTGCCTCCTATAGAATCCAAAAAGTGTTAAACGGTGGCGTACTTACTTTACTTTTCCGATCCAGCGGCCATTTGGGTTCTAGCCCTTCGGTCTGAAACGGTGGCGTAAAAACTTTACATTTTTACATTTACATTATTTACCTCCTGGCTAAAACAGCACCTGGACATGGATGGCTGGTGCCTCTATAAATAAATCACTGATGGTCTATTTACCTCCTCTCCTTCCTCGCCGGGACGTGCTGTATATCTCAGGAACGTGACCCAGACCAGACTCGGGGCAGGAGATGAGATCCAACAGGTCATGAAGCATTGCCTTCTTGGAAATGACGTCAGCGTGACAGTCGGAGCTCAGCGATGGGCTAAAGTTCACCTCCAGCAGCCACGGCTTCATGCTGTTGTCTATGAGGACGTCGAACCCGTACAGCTCAAAGCAGTTACTCACCTGAGACAAGACAGAATATTCACAATTTAAACAAGTGAGAACGCGACAGAATGTTCCCAATTTAAACCAGTGAGAACATGACAGAATATTCACAACTTAAACCAGTGAGAATACGACAGAATGTTCACAATTTAAACCAGTGAGAACATGACAGAATGTTCACCATTTAAACCAGTGAGAACATGACAGAATGTTCACAATCAGTGAGAACATGACAGAATATTCACAATTTAAACCAGAGAGAACACGACAGAATGTTCACCATTTAAACCAGTGAGAACACAACAGAATGTTCACCATTTAAACCAGAGAGAACATGACAGAATGTTCACAATTTAAACCAGTGAGAACATGACAGAATATTCACAATTTAAACCAGTGAGAATACGACAGAATGTTCCCAATTTAAACCAGTGAGAACACGACAGAATGTTCACAATTTAAACCAGTGAGAACAGGACAAAATAGGAGAAATTTATTAGACTTAAACTTTAAATTTTCTTTGCACTTGCTGAAAGTGACGATCAAAGCCAAGTTCACATGGAGTACAAGTAGTAGGCCTACTTAACAAATAACGTAATCTCTCTCTCTCTCTCTCTCTCTTCCCTCTCTCCTTTCTCTCCGTCTCTCTCAAACACCCTCTCCGTCTCTCTCAAACACCCTCTCTCTCGCCTCCTCTACTTACGAACTGTAAGTGGACTTTTACCACACACACACAAAAAAGAGCATTTACAAACATAATGCTGTATGTATATGTCTCACCCTTGGCATTATCAAACATAAAGGTGCACATTGTCTCACCCTTGGCATTAACAAACATAACGGTGCAAGTACAAGTCTCACCTTTGGTATTAACAAACATAATAGTGCACAAATCTCACCCTTAACATTAAGTAACAAACATAACGGTGCGCATGTATCACCCTTGGCATTAACAAACATATAACGGTGTACAAGTCTCATCCTTGACATTAATTAACAAACATAATAGTGCACATGTCTCACCCTTGGCATTAACAAACATAACGATGTACATATCTCACCCTTGGCATTGATTAACAAACATAACGGTACACTGTGTCTCACCATTGGCATTAGAAACATAACAGTGCATGCACATGTCTCACCTTTGGCACTAACAAACATAACGGTATACATATCTCACCCTTCATATTACCAAACATAATGGGGCATGCCCATGTCTCACCCTTGGCATTAATTAACAAAGAAAATAGTGCATAAGCCTCACCCTGGGCATTAATTAACAAACATAACTATTCACATGTCCCCCCCTTTGTATTAACAAACATAACGGTGCACACTGTCTCACCATTGGCATTAACAAACATAACGGTGCACATATCTCACCCTTGGCATAAACAAACATAACGGTGCACATATCTCACCTTTCATATCAACAAACATAATGTCTCACCCTAGGCATTTACAAACATAATGGTGCACATGTCTCACCCTTGGCATTAGCAAACATAATGTCTCACCCTTGGCATTAACAAGCATAACGTCTCACCCTTGGCATTAACAAACACAATGTCTCACCCTTGGAATTAATTAACAAACATAGCGGTACGGAGCACATGTCTCACCCTTGGAGCAGTTGGAGCCTGCATTAGCATGGTCAGTGTGATGATGTTTGCTATCCGCTGCCACAGAAGAGTGTCGCAAACGTTGTTCTGAGAGAAGTAGCGACGCAGCTGGGAGATGGTCCACTTACAACCATGCCCCACCTGGTCTTTGTCTGCTGTGTACCCAGGGCTGCATTATTACGATGAAAGGAAATAAAAAGAAACTGAATTTCAGAATACTTGTTTCAGTTTGAGTAGTAAAGAGTAGCACATCAATACAAAATTTGGTTATTTAGGGCAAGACAGACAGACAGACAGACAGACACACAGACAGACAGACAGACAGATAGACAGACAGACAGACAGACAGACAGGCAGACAGATACAACAGAGGGATTTTAGTTAAAGTATGAGTTTTACGACACTCACAACACAATGTACATCGTAAAAGTGCAAAAGATTAGAGGTGTTACTAATGAATGATATAAAAAGAAAAGAAAGAGGATAGATAAGGTTAAAAGATGTTTCATAGGGAAAAAAAGGAGAAATTTGCACCAGAGCACCTGTCACCCACCCATCTACAGGGGAAAGAAAAGAAATAGGACCTATCAGAATTATGGTTCTCGTTGCTATTATTGAACCACCCACTGGCTTTCCCTCTTCTGTCCAAAGCCACTTAGTGTTATATTATATGTGAAAGTTTACTGTAACAGTTGTGTGGTCATATAGAACCCGGTTTTGAAAAACTACATGTGCAGTTACAGAAAAAATATGACAAACAGGAACATACCTTTACTAGTACAGAAAAATATAATAATAATATGAGGACCCTTAAGGACACAATATATATTTTCATTCTTTATCACATTATCTCTCTTTCTCTGAGTGTGCTTGTGTGTGTGTGTCTATGTGTCTGTCTTTCAAAATAAAAAGAGACAACGACAGAGGTGCCTCCATCCATGACAAAGCCATAAATAGAGAATATGTACGAGAGCAAGATTTTTCATGAACAGACAGTCAAATGTACCACAACATTAAGCCTTCACTTTATTGTTTAGATTAGTTTTTTTAGTAGAGGTTTTACGGCGCTCGCAACTGCATAAGGTCATATGAGCGCAAGAAGTCTAGAGGTGTTACAAAAGAGTAACAAACATAAAAAAGAAGAAGGGGAGATAAGGACGATAGATGTTTCATAGGAAACAAGAAGCAAACCACACCAGAGCACCCGTCAACCACCCACACTTTATTGTTAGTTGGTCTTTTACCGTGCTCACAATTGCAAATCAAAGGTCATATTAACATTTTCAGTTTTAATTTTGAAACCTTCACTTTAGAAAAAGAGTCACCTGAATTTGTTAATGCTGGTATTTGTCAAATGAGCAAACACATTGTCTGGCCGGTCCAGGTCGTACTTCTCCGTACCAAAACGCACCAAACCTTCCTCATGCACGTAGATCTGGAGTGGATGGAAGCTGCATACTGCAACATACACCCGCAGGTCAAATTTGTAGCCACCTGTGAATGGGAGTTGTGAAGCAGGAGTTTACTGCCAGTAAACAAGACATCGATCAAATTTCCCCAGCACCTGAAAAGGGACAAAATCAACACTGAAAAAGAAATAAATAAAAGATGCAAATAATAACGACGTACTAACCAACAAAACCAAACATGAGAGCAACAGTCCTTTGACATGATGAGATAAGTAGGCTACTGTTGCTGCGAAAAACTGGAACAACAAAAGGCAAAAATAGAATTGAAACTGAATTACAGGACTTTTCAACACAAAGGAATGCATGAACCTATGCAATTCATACGGAAAAAATGTCTTTAACAAATAGATAAAATTTACTCCGCATCAGCCCTGTTGCCTTTTTGAAACCCACTTAAATGTTTCTCAGCTCACTATCATGACAGTATATTGCACATTTTATAAAAGTAGTCATTCACCTTTTATCACCAATAGACCTTTATCAAAATCCTCATGCTGGTCGTCATCAGAGTACTTTTGTTAGGGTATTCAAAGGTAATTTACATAGATCTATAGACCACATATTATGATCTGTTGGGTCCAAAAGTTTAATTTGTTGATATTTTTCTAAATCAAGATATTTCTATTTTCGCAGAACTTAAACTGCACAGATTGGAAAATAAAGAAAATAAGAGTATGTGTATGTAAAAGAGGAAAATTCGTTTTTAAAATCTCAGTTTTAAGAAAGCACACACAAGAATTTAGATAACGACTTCCTAGAGCTTGATCATCTTTCAAAGCAACCATCAAAATATTCAATTATGGAAAACTAATTTAAAGAGGGCATAACTTTACACTTTCATCAAGAAAAATAGCCATGGAAGATTTCAAATCAAATCCAGTGTGTCAGACTCAAGATAAACATGAATCAACAAATTTTGGGTTCCTCTAGCCCATGCATGGTTTGACAATATAATACACAATAAGTAATTATGGTCACATAAATTATCTTTACCCTTCAGACCCTGAACCTGCCTTGCTATTCGGAAGACAGTTCCTAAACTCTCTCAAGCTGTAAGAAATTAACAGTTCAGTCTTATGACTATTTGAATTGAAAAAATAAAGCAGTCCACATTTTTTTTTTCGTTTTTACCCTTCACCCTAGGGGCTCTCACAAGTAAGACCCTTTGACCCTTTCAACAGGGGTCATGGATGGACTACTCTGAGCTCTCACCATACAATTTGAAAAGTTCTTTCGTAAATTGTTCAATGATTCAAGCACCTTGAATCAGTAAGGACAAAATATGACTATATATATATATCAACAGAGAATGCTCACACTTCCTAGGATTAAATATCCTTGGAACTAAAATACAAAGATGTGGACATAAGAGATCGAAACAGTTCTATGTATGTGTACGTGTGCAAGTATATAAGTGTGACAAAGTGAGTGCATATATATATGTGTGTAAATGTGTGCAACAATGTGTTTCTCTCCAAGTGTATGCTGTGGGGGTGGGGGTGAGAAAGAGAGTGGGCTGGATGGTGGAGTGAACTGATCTGGGCTATGTGTTTATCAAAACCTTTCTACAGTTACATAACCTAAGTACAAATTTTTCTAGCCTTCATCTCAGAAAAAAAGGTGAAATGGCATAGATTTAATGCCACAACACTATTAGGTTATTTTGGATGTAAGATCTCAGAGTTTAACATCCATCTTCGAAAAGGACTAAGTCGACTGGACAATTTGTGTAAAGTGCCTTTCCCAAGGACACAACGTCGGACCAAGCTGAGGCTCAAACCCTGAACCCGCAATCTCACGATTACGAGTCCAGTAGCCTAACCACTAGCTACTACCGATGCCACTTCATCTCAGAAACAAAGAAGAAATAAGGCTACACTACTTCAACTCAGAAAGAAAGAATAATTCCCCCCCCCCCCACCAAGAATACAAAACACAGTGATCATCTCTATCATTAACTTCCATAAAAATGTTTGAAGCTTGGGGTATAATAATTTTGGTTAGAAAATGGCTAAAAAGTCATTTCTAGTATAGGGGAAATTCAGTTTATGAGAAAATTTGTGCCTGTAAAGAAATACATTTTGAACATCATAAGTTTGTATCATTCTATAACCTCTCTCATAAAGTTTTTTTTTTTTACCGTTGGCTAAACATATGAAGTAGATACTTGCTCTGCTGTAGCTAAACACTTTCCTCCATCTCTACAAAGCTGCCAACCCAGCACATTCATCAATATCCAATAAGTCTTGAAACTTGAATTCAAAGGGAAAAAAACAGCACTTTACACAATTCTCCATCTTTTACAGGCAAAAAAAAGGTCCACTTTCACTGGCGCTTACCTTTTTCATACTCATCTATATCCTATCACGAAAAAGATATCTACACAAAGTTACTTGGAGTATCTTGATGTAAATGTTGATTCTTAATCAAGTCAGAGTAAACTACAAAAATGTATCGAGATTTAAAAATTGTGAAAACAAAAAACACTTGGTGTCAGTTTTGGTTGAAAAATGAAAGTGAAAAGACTACAATGAGTTTTATGTAAATTGGAAACCGCAGACTATAAACTGTTGACAATGAGAATATTCTTAATCCTTTTCGATAAAGAAGATCAGAGTACATCAACACTTTAACGTTCATTTAAAGCATGGAAAAGGTAGACCATAGGAAAAGGTAGACCATAGGAAAAGAAAAGAAGTGCAATAAGACCTACCAGTGGTACTCTACAACCACTTGCTAAATGTTTTACACTTGGTTAACTGAAAAACATGACCATTTGGGGGGGTTTTTTGGTTATTGTTCTCAGACATGATTCTTCATTAAAGATATGGAGGAGAAAGACTCACACATAGTAGAAACATTCCTACATCATGTCTTTAAAATGTAGCATACTACTGCAGCTATGACTACAATAATCTATGGTATAAAATATCATCACTGCGCCTAACCCAAGACAAGCTGGTTCTAACATATATATAAAAATTATAACAAACAAGTGCCTTAAAGATCTGTAACCTTTCCACATTGAACAAGTATCTAGAGAATCAGTACATTCTGCTGTAAAATCTATGACAGATGACAATAGCAACTTACTACAATAAAAAGTTTCTTTTTTAAAATAACACTGCAATTATATCAATGTCCACTCAAACAATCAAGAGCATTGCTGGAAATGCCAATTTACTTTTAATAACCAAACAATTATGTTGAAAAAAAAAGTTACAATGAAACAGTGTATGATTTTCGCAACATCAGACCTCATTTACCGAGACAAAATTAATTTGCACCCATATTTTTTCTACTATCAAATACTTTTTATCTAGAGATGCAACATAACTCATACTATCAAAGAACAATGCAGAGGTAAGGAAATTCCCAGCACTGAGACATATAAATTCCTTCAACTGTATCTCACCACTCAAAGCTACTTTTTGTCCTTCTCTTTGGGTGTGTTTTTTTAGCTTCAGTTCTTTTTTATACAATGAAAGTAGTACATTTTTTTTCAATGATTTATGGGGTGGAATCGGAACATTTTTTTCTTTCTTGTCTTAAAAAAAAAGGTGGGATGGGCAGGTGGGGTGGGGGAAGGGGGGGGGGAGAGGCATGTCTTGATGGAAATGCAGCTAAAAAACATGATCAATACAGCTAAGGTTATTCAATCTCATCCGACTGGGAAAAAAAATAATAGAACATGGAACAGCAAGGTCACAGACTAACTTGCAATAGATAGACTATAGAACAGACAGTTCTTACACCAGAGTACTTTTAACTCAGAAATCATAATTCTGCTTTCCCCATTCCAATGCAGCTACTATCATTATTTGCAACTTAAGACTACAATATGCATCTAGATCACACACACATTTGGTCTAGAGCTAATGTGGCTAAAAACAAACCAGGTATCTAATCCCTGTGTCCGTGCTATCTCGTTATTGCCATCATTGCTGAAACTGTGGTGTGAGAAGGAAGCAATTCTGCAATTCATATTGTAATCTTGAATTATTTAATTTTTTAAAATCATTTTCCCAAATGAAATGGTCTTCAAATTTTATTCAGAGTTCAACCGGAGCTTTTCAGCAATTCACACCAATAATAATCATAAAAGAGAGCATAATTAAATTCAAAGAGAGAAAAGGATTTAGAAAGTTAAGAAACGGGAGAATGAGATTGGGGGAGGGGGGGGGGGTGTACAAAAACAGGAGAGCAAGGAGAGAAAGGGTCAAAATGGGAGAAAGGTGTTGTTTTTTTTTTGGGGGGGGGGTTTTGTTGTTGTTGTTATTTTTTGGAAGGGGAAGTGGCTGGAAGGGGTGGGGGGGGGGGGGGGGGGTGAGGGCGAAAGGAGACAAAGTGAAGCAGGAAAAGAGGATAAGCTAGTTGGAGGATTGGGGGGGAACAAAAAAAGAGGAAAGAGGGATGATGTGGTGTATGAGACAGAAGTCAATGGGAGGTGAAAGAGAGAAAGGGAAGGAGGTAAAAGAAACAATTTAGGAAGGGCAGGGAAAGGGAGAAGGAAGAAAGGGGAGGAGACGTAAGGAAAAAAAGGAATTGTGGAGACTAAACAGACGATAAGGTGAGGAGTAGAGCACAAGGGGAAATAGTGGTGGGAGAGGGGGGGGTGTTGAGAGGGGTAGATACCAAGAGAGAGAGAAAAAAAGGAAAACAGTAGTACAAAAGGAGAATTGGGAGGGGGAGGGGGATTTCGTTAGGGAGAAAAAGAAAGAGGAATTACAGAAAGAGAAAAGGGGAAAAGGGGACAAAGAGAAAGGAGTAGACAAGACGGAATGAAGAGTAAAGGAGAAAAGGAACTAGGGATAAAAATAGAGCATAGGAGGAAGAAAGTGAAAACAATTAAGAAGAGAAAGAGGGCAGCATTTAGAGGGGTCGCAGAGTCGTTTTAACAATGGCTAGTCCTTTTGATGCCAACAAAAAAAAATCACTAAGAAAAGACTTTATTATTAATTTTTAATGTTTCGCCTTCTTTAGAACAATTAATTTTCAAGCAACCAAAAGCCATTTTCATTTTTAACAAATTATTGATAATACATCATGATTGCACATATATAAAAAGAGCAACAACAAAGTAAATAAAAGGCTTACCTATCAATAAAGGGTCTTTGATATATTCCTGGACAACCGCATTACAGTCATACTGCAGCTCTGAGAGTTCCTTGAAAATAAATATACCCCGACCTCTGGAAGACTCAGCCGGTTTGCAAATCCACATTTTTCGACCGCTTTGCTTGTCCTTCGGTTGGCGTAAACTGGCGTACTCCGACACAAATTTGGTGTAGTCATTCGGAAGGTTGTAAGCTACTGGGCTGGAGAAGAGCAGAGAAAATACTAATTGTTTCATCAATGTTATGATTTGCTTTATGACAAAATTATCTGAAGTTTGAAAATCAGCGACAGTGAGTTCAAGCTCTGTGACACAATTTGAGAGATGCCTTTCTTTCGATCGCCAGTATCATTGAAAACTACAAACCTCATAGTAAGTCAGAGAATTCTATTCTACAAAATGGATTGATTTATATTCTGAGTAGAATTTGATAGGCAACACAGTAACAGATAAATAAAAAGCGATCTTGTGGAAGACAAACTTGAGAAGGAATAAAGCTTTACAATGTTACAACGTCAGTAAAACTTACCTAAAGTTATATACACTGCAGCCATGAACAATGCGCATTTTCCTCAAATTGCGACACAAACAGTCCTTCTTTGTGATGGATGTGCAATGAGGATAATGATTAATCCATTGCCAGGGCAGCAAGTTAGTGTATTCACTCGTCCGAAACCGGGATGTTTTCCACCAGATGTTCCAGCCATCCTCTCCATGGACCTTTCAATAGAAAAACAACATATATGACAGATATAGAATTAAAGAAAACAATGAGATAAAAACAGGCAGCCCTAGATATGATCACAGTGAAAAAAAACAAGGGATTAATTTCGGAGACATATAAGAAGTATGTCTACAGTGCATTTAAAGGGTTAAACCTGGTTACTGAACTGCAAGAGCACATATTATAGGACACTCTATCATGACCAGTTGCCAGTCAAGGAAAAAAGATTAATCTAAGGTACTGTGGATCAAGCAATTCAATATTTCTTTTTTTTTTTTAATAGTCTGAATCAAGTAGTCAGAATAAATGAAATAAATAATATCATATTACCATACCTCTGGATCATATTCAGTCCAGCCTCTCTCTAACAAAACATTCTGAAGGAGTTCTGGGCCAATACCATTGTCATTCAGTCGAAAAACAATTTTCTGGTCCATGTCTTTGTCTGCTACTGCATTAGGTCCCAGTTCAAGTCTGCACAAGATGAGAAAAAAGAATGTGTTACATACTTTTAAATTCACGTATATATGCAAAATCAACATTTAAACTTGCCATAAACATTTCATTTAGAGTTGACCTGATATACTATGTTTTTATTATATTATTTATATTTGGCAACTTGGAAACACATGTGTCACTTTTCTCATAAAACTATTGACAGCTAGGCCTATAGAGTTGAAAGTTGGCAGATATCTGAAAAAAGATATAGACGAGGTCCCCATGATGGAGCCCGATTTTTTATTTATTCACTTCCCGAATTTATAAAAATACACCGGAGAAAAATTTCTCATCCTTTTTTGGCCTTTGTGATTATTTCACTGAGAAACGAAAAAAAATCTGCATTGCATGTCCTTCACAGCAGAAGTGCGGGAAGTCATTAGATCTATATGCTATCTAGATCTAGATTCTAGATCTATATCTCGCCAGGCCCATTTTGTTTTGACATTTTTTTGCATCTCTCAGGATTTATTGCTCCATTCCAGTATAGAGTATAAATATATATATAATTATATAGGCCGTGTGAAATTACTTTCAGTTGATGTTCATGCACCGATCATTTCTTTCATGTTTTGGGGCACAATGAAAGTCCGTCAGTATTCCTTCACATAGGATAGGACAGGTATTTATAAGTCAAGTAAACAAGCTGGAGGTCGCACTGGAGGCAGAGACAACATTACGATATATGCCTTTATAGATCTAGATCTAGTTGGATACATTTTAGACCTATCGATTTTACTGACTGCCTCATCAAGAACCCGAATCTAATCCCAAAAATGCCGACGACAATTTAAAAACGTAAAATCCGAAAGTTCATTCCTTGCCAAACTTTAACTTTTAAAAATTCAGTATCTCTGTTCTCTGTTACTATTCGGATTTAAATTCAAAGCAAAAACAGTCCTTTCAAGACAAAAGGGTATTTTATCTTCTCTAACAGTTTGTCAAAACCTATCCATCTATAAATGTATACAGCGGCAAGCCGTAACCTCTTATAACTACTTGAACACATCCATTTTGTCACTTTGTCATCTCTGTCCGTCCGCCATAGTGTATTGACGTCACGTGATGCCGCTTGAAGTTAACGACGGCCAATCGTGTGCAGTGATACAAACTGCACATATCCACGGAGTTTATGCCCTTCATTAGGCCTAATTTTGAACACACTAAGCTAGCCTAGGCCTAAGCGGATAATACCAGATGATGATTTTCTTTTTCTTTAGGTTTCAAATGATAGGTATAAAAGTAAAACTGAGACCCTTAACGTGCAATGCATTTGCTTTGTATGACACTGAAGTATCCGTATCACTTATTTGACCCTTTAGAACATTTACCATTTAGAAGCCAATGCCAACAGAAAATCTACCGGGAATTGAAAAAGAAAGACAACTCGATTTAAAACTACTTCGTCGCAGGAAACCCTTTTTGACTCGGCTATTTCCCTTTGATAGTAATATAGCGCCATCCCAGTATTCCCAGCAAGGACATAATAGTCATCAGAACATAATAATAATAATGTTATTGATTTAGCAGCAGCAGTGCAAACATCATCATCTTCATTATCATCATCAGCAGCAGCAATAACAATAGCAACAACAACAACAACAACAACAACAACATCGATATAACTGTTAATGGTCTGTAGCTTCCTATAGTCAATTTTACACAGCTGCTTTAGAATTACAAGGTTCCATCTGACATTTTTGGCCGTTTTGAGTAACCAAGACCATGAGGTCTGAAGCAAAACCGTAAAAAAACAAAAACAAGAAACAATCTGTCCGCTCTATCAAAATCGGAAGATTATGGAGCCGTTATCAAGATATCCAATGAATTGTACTCGAAAAAAGCGTGGCATGTTGTGAAACTTAAATTTTTTTACGCCAAACTTCTCAAAAACCAATTACGGTACTGAGCAAGTTAATAATTGAACTTCATAATTCTAGGTAGTGATTGGCTGCTGATAGTAAAAGCCTCTTCAATAGGAAGAACTGGTCTGCCGCTGTGCTCTACTTGGTGGACTCCTTTTTTCTTTTTTAAATTGGTAAGTGTTTTACGGCGCTTGCAACTTCATAAAGTCATATGAGCACGCAGGACACATTTAAGCATTAAAATTTTTAGTTTGGTAAGAATTGATTTTGAATTTTGCCCGTTTGTAGGCGGCTGAAGTTGGCGGACTACAACACAACGACCAGTCTGACAATATATATATATATTCATTTGTACTTGATTGTTTAGTTGTTGTACCACAATTCACAACTTTAACCCTAACCTAAACGTTGACCCGCAGTCGGTTACATAGTAATAATAATGATAATAATAATAATAATAATATAATAGTGCGTCCGTCAATGTCTGTTGATGACCAATACACCCACATAAGAAAATATTTCTCCAGCGAAATAGAAAAAATTCAAGATTTGAAGATTAACATGGCTTAGGCTTACTGCTGGGGCTGATGATACCAATTCTGGCAGAGAAAAGTTTGCCACATTTTGAACATTTAAAAGCTCCACTTCTATCATCCATTTTGATTTGTGGGTGTGCACAGCTAGCGGACTGCTCTCTTGGTTTCAGCATTTATTATTCGTGAAGTCTCACATACGATTCGCTGCTCACTGTGACCGCTGCTCTCCCTCCAGCTGGGCCTGCCAGGAGCTATAATAGATTCTTCCATGCAGTGGTAGTAGATCTAGTCCTCTTTTAATGAGTTGGCACTCAAAGTCCCGATCAAACCCGCGATTTTTTATTTTTGTTTTTGTAAAGTGTTTTACGGCGCTCGCAACTGCATAAGGTCATATGAGCGCGCGGGACACACTTAATATTTTCAGTTGGTCGGAAATTTTGAATTTCGCCCGGGTGGCGGACGAATCCTACTCGTATTGATTTTAGACCACCAAGGGATCTTTAATGTGCGCAACTTGCACACGGGCCCTCCAAGATTTTTCGCCCTTGTCCGAGAAGGCTAGGTGTAGATCTTTCCTACCAGAAGATCAAGGGTGTGGCAGAAAGACAGCAGTAAGGAGGAGCCAAGAAGTAGCAGTAGAAAGGCTGCAGAAAGAGTCAGGAGTCTAGAGAAGGGGGCAAAGGAGGTGAGGGGGTGGGGGCAGAAAGTGAAAATGAAAGCAGACTACAGAACATTGCTAGAGAGCAGGAAAGGAGGTGAAAGGAGACAATTTTAGAGAAGAAAATGTTTCGGTCGCTACCCGGATTCGAACCCGGGACCTTTGAATGTGAGGCCAACACCTTAACCTCTAGGCCACGAGAGCCCCCCCTTTTTTCCCCAAATCTTTTTTTGTCTGTCTGTCTGTCGCTCTCTCTCTCTCTCTCTCTCTCTACATAAAGCCTTTCCGAAGGACACTATAACATCGGGTCCCTGACAGGATTCGAATCCACGACGGGGGGCTCGATCTCTTGACCTAGAGGTTAAGGTGTTGGCCTCTCATTCCAAGGTTTTGTGTTCGAATCCGGGTAGCGACGGAAAATTTTTCTTCTCTAAAATTGTCTCCTTTCACATCCTTTCCTGCTCTTTAGCAATGTTCTGTTGTCTGTTTTCGTCTCCTCATTCTGCCCCCCACCCCGTACCTCCTTTGCCCCCTTCTCTGGGCTCCTGGCTCTTTCTGAAGCCTTTCTACTGCTGTTCCTAATTGGCCCATTCTTACTACTGACTTTCAGCCACTCCCCTGATCTTCTGGTAGGAAAATCTACACCCTGCCTTCTCGGACAAGGGCGAAAAAGCTCGGAGGGTCTGTGTGCAAGTTGCGCGCGTTAAAGATCCCTTGGTGGTCTAAAATCGATAAGAATAGGCTTCGGCCACTGCCCGGGCAAAATTCAAAATGTCCTGCCAACTGAAAAGGTTTGATGTGCGTGAGGGGTGGGAAAGAATTATTTTTAAATTTTTAATTAATTTTTTTTTTCGGGGAGGGGGGATTTCTTCCGAATTACAAAATTACAGAATAGGACCTTTTTTCCCCATTGTCAGTTTTGCCCCAGTGTCAGGTTTTGAACAAAAAAAAAACACAAAAAAAAACACCCCCCACACAAAACAATAACATAGATAAATGAAACAAAGCAAGGAATGGAATTTGAGCATGTTTTATTGGTAATTCAATAAGACAATGCATCTAAACAGCTCCTGATAACTTTATGTATAATTTATGAGGTGGGCATCTGTACAAAATAAACCAGCAAAAACAGATTTGATCACGGGGGCTGACAGAATAGGCTACAAAGCTTCGTTTTGAAGTGTTTGTTACATGTGACGTGTTAGTTAGATTCTAACTCTCGTCTTGGACTTATAGTGTCAGTATCCCTCATCATCTCAAAGAGAGTACAGCAGGAGATTACGTTTTCATCACCACTCAGTCAACAACATGATCCAAACTATCATGTGATTACACAATATGGTGAAAGCAAGTCGACTCTCTCTTTCCCTGTGAACCAAGGGTGTGAACAGCATACATATATGCTAGCCCCAGCAAAACGTCAAATCAAAAGGTGACGTACGTTTGATGCAGTTAAATTAAGTAACCAGGGAGCGCATGAAGCAGCTGACTCCTGCAGACATTTTGACTCACACAATCGTAGACTTGTGGACGGACAAACAAAACCCTTCTAAAACAAACCAGTAAACAGACAGTAATACCAAATGTCATAACATATACAATAGACTGCTTGACAAAAAATAACTGGAAAGCAAATTCAAAAGAGCAAAATGATTTCAAACAGATTAGAATAAATGATGAAGGGCAATCTTGAATTGTAAGCAAACAGCACGTTTGATAAACTACTGAATTTTACTTTGAAAGAATAAAAAGTAAGAATTAAACAACTGTGCATTTAGAATTACATTTCAGGAAAGAACAGATAAAAAGACTAACTACAGATACACTTGAATAAAACAGTTTGATTTCTAAAAGTACGTGGAGTATCGTACATGGAGTATCGTACGTGGAGTATCGTACATGGAGACAGACATGGGGAACAAAAAGAAACGAAGATCACGAATGGAAAATGAGGCCCAAAAGACGAGGAAGAAAAAGCCAGGGGAAAAGTTCAACAATACGTTAGAAAAGAGAGGACACTCAAATTTTGGTCCCTTCATAAATTTCAAAAGTACAAAACAGTTGCCTCCAAAGCATTGTCAATGTACAGATGGTCCATAAACATGTGGCTCTCCTTCTCATCTGTAGCAGTGCCACAAGAAAACCAATATTTGTTCCCACCATCGCTCTTGTGATGGCCAGTAAAACACACGTTTAAAAAAATACCCGATCAAATCCTCAGGAACAAAAAACTGCCTTCATAGTATATAAAAATTGTATTTGTGTATGTACAATTTATGATTCCTTCCTCTCTTGTCAATAAATATAATTATAGCCCATTACATAGTGAAATAAAAATGAAAACATCTTCCAAGTACTGACTTAAACAAACATATGACAAAAACGTAATGATAATAATTTGGTATAAAGTGTCAACATTAACTACCACTATTAAATATTTCTCATAAATTAAAAAGTAAATAATCTTTAAAATACCTTGGGACGAATTGAAACTACAATGCAAAGGGACTGACAACCTCCGAAAGAGAACCAAAGTGCACATGAACAATAAACCATCAACAAATGAACTAGTTAACAAATGAAGAAGTTGGTAAATGAACTAGCTAACAAATGAACGAGTTGGTAAATGAACTAGATCAAGTTAACAAATGAAGTAGAATAAAAATGAACAGGTTAGCGTGTAAAAAACAAAACAAAAGAAAACGTAAACAAAGCAACTCCCCGCCCCCCCCCCCCCCCCCCCCCAAATAACTACAAAAAAGCCACAAAAAATGAACAACCAACAACAAGAAAAAAACCACCTTAGTAAACAAATGAACAAGAACACGAATAAACTCATGATTAATATTGGTCAAGAAGACAAATGAACAAGTTAGCAAATGAAGTAGTAAACAAATGAACAAGAACACGAATAAACTCAAGATCACTATTGGTCAAGAAGACAAATGAACAAGTTAGCAAATGAAGTAGTAAACAAATGAACAAGAACACGAATAAACTCATGATCACTATTGGTCAAGAAGACAAATGAACAAGTTAGCAAATGAAGTAGTGAACAAATGAACAAGAAGGTTAAAAAAAACTGGTAAACAAAATAACTAGTGCACAATGTCATAGAGCACAAATGAACAAGTTAACAGTACGAAACGAAAAAAAAAAATCAAGACCTGCACAGACATGGAAGAAATAACGTATTGAAACCTCATGGAGAGAACACAAGATATGCCCTGTTAGCTCAAATACAAATTGTAAAGCAGCGCTGGTTTGTTGGGAGGCATGAACACATACTGAAAGACAGGGACTCCGATACTGCTTGGTCGCAAATTGTCGCTAAGATTGAGCACCACCAGTTGAAATGCAATCAGAAAAAAAGAAAACTCTAACAGCACACCTTTCTTTCTCAAATGCAAAGTCCATTTAAACCAATGGGCCTATTATGTTATTATAAAAATCACTGTTGGAACATGAAATTAAGACCTGCTGGAAAAAAAAAGAGTCATTTGTTAACTTTCAAACCAATCCACAATAGACTCTGCACAGAATTCTTCACAAAGAACAAATAAAGAATTTGTAGCACTATTATTCAGTCAACCTTTTTTCTTTTCAACACAAACAAGAAACAAAGGGGGGAAAAATACATCATTGCTAAAAAAAGCATCACATACGCATGAAAACATAAAAGCCAAAACAAAATCCAAAAGGCAAAAACAAAAGGGAAACAAAACCCAAACAAAACAAACAAGAAAATATTGATATTGAAGAGTAGGCTACTTTTTTTTAAATGCCAAAAAGAATTGACTTAAAAGACAAGAATGATATTTCAATGCTCAAAAGCATCAAATAAACTAGTTTTCAAGACTAATTCGGAGAATGTGTGTGTGTATGTGTGTGTGTGTGTGTGTGTGTGTGTGTGTGTGTGTGTGTGTGTGTGTGTGTGTGTGTGTGTGTGTGAGTGTGCTGGAGGGGGATGGGGGAGTTGGTGTTATGCTCATGAGTAGCATAACATTATCCAGATAAGAGCTATGAAACTCCATATTCTTGCTTTTTGAATCAAGATTTTTTAGATGGAAATGGTAACAAAAATTTAGACATAAGCACAACAATTGCTCACCTAGCCAGCAATCACTTCTATTATATATTTTTAAAAAAAGAAATATTTGCAACACTGCAACAAAATAAAACCCAACATAGCACAAGACAAGTTGCTCTCTAAAAATGTGTGAGTGTATTGCTTGAGAAAAATAGATTTTCAGTCTAGTATTCTTTCATACAATAACAGAAATATGTACATACATACAAAAGAATAAAATAAAAATTACGTCTCCCAATGCGCCTTAAGGGATTGTATCATTTATAAGAAATTGTAAAAGGTTCCGTAAAGTTATGTGTCTGCTTATTTCAATGCAATGCCTCAAAGAGCTGAATTGATCAACACAATAAGAACATGAAATTTTCATATGATCTGATATTGTAATATAGATATTGCCAAACCTTTAAACAGTAGGCCTTCTTACTTCTTTTTTTTCTTTTTAATAAATATTAAGTGTCGTCATTATCTGACTCAGACTGAGAGCTCAGATCTCCCTCACCTAATTTCCCCATATCATTTTCTTTACACTTCTGCACATTCATACACTCTTAAAATAACTGCATCCTTGACAGTGTATTATAGTGTTACTCCAAATTAAAAATGAAGTTTCATGTAAAAGATGGCAACTGGATGAAAACAGTCAGCTAAAACAAATAGTTAGACATCAAATGTTACTATTCAACATGCATAATTCACTTTCTAGACCACATCATACACGCCTAACTGAGGTCTCTATTTGGAAATTACATGACCTACTGCAGACATCTGTAGTCTTCACTCTCTGTGGGGCCAACATGGGGGTAGCCATGACATCATGCATGAAAAGCAATTTGAACCTGTTTTCAGAGAGACGACCTCACGTAGACCTTAAGCATCCACAGTTCACATCACTGACAATCTTTCAGTCCCAAAAGGAAAAACTTTGATACCAGTCACCACTATCTTGACAGCCATTGCCATCAAACCATCCATTACTCAGTAACACATTAGACCAAGTTTCATCCTGCTCACGACTCACACTTATCAGCTCACCCACATTTATCATTCATATGATCTAGCACCTAGTAGTATGAACATTTTAAATGTCAATATGGCCGCCACACGCTGCGCTCAGCATGCTCCTCACTCCCCTTGCGACTGAGCGGAGAATGTGAAGACTCTGATCTGCCCTCCGGTGGTGAGACAGATGAGGAGACAGATGCGGTCATGGGATAGTGCCGCAGCTCATGTCGTGAGGTGTTAATGGTATCAATGTCCATCATCATTTTCCTTTCTACCAAATGACGAGTTGAGAATGAAACAGGAATGGGTTTTTCAATACGTGGAATATGTGGTGGTGACTGGCGGCCATTGTATTTATCATCAAAATGATATGGTTGAGGATCGAACAAGCCTTCATTCACATGATAAACTGAACGAAGAACCTTGTAGGGTTTCTCTTCTATACCCGAGGAAAGAGAAAGTCTTCTCTTGAAATATTTCCCATCAGTAGAAGATCGTGACAGGTCATGGCCCTCATTTTTCCTCTCTTCTCCAGCCGTCGTATGGCCAATAATCTCATAGGTCTTCTCCCCTGCAGGAACGAGAAGCTGAGGGGGGCTCTGGGAGTAAATGTGAGAGGGAGGGTAAATAAAGCCTGTGGGGAGGACTCTGGTCGGGGAAGATGAAAGGTAGGATGCAGACAGGGCTATTGAGTTAGGGGGGTTGAGGGAGGGCATCAGATCTTGGTGTGTTAGAACGGAAAATGAAGCATGGTGTCCAGGAGAACGCGGGAGAGTGGGCAAACCCTCTCTGTCTTGCAGAGGCAAAGAACTCAGAGAGTGAGAGTCGTGGAGAGAAACACCAGGGTTACCAGTTTCTGGCAGCCCACGAGGGGGGCAGTCAGAACGAGTCATGCCAAATTCCAGTCCTCGCATGTTGCACAAGGACAGATTCATGGCGTGGGCATCTGGAAAGGAACTTCCCGCTTGGAACAAAGGATGGCTCTGAAGATTTCCAACTCCTCTGTCTGAGAGATGATCTACAGGCAGTCGGCTTTCTGATGAAATGGCTAGCCGCCTGCTTGCGTCTTGAGATGACTTGGTCAAATGTCGAACTGCTGAAGGGTCACTTTCTTTGCTATACACAGCTAGCGCTGAGGCAGACTCTGGCAGGGATATGGCACGGCTCTCCTCCAAGATGCCAAAGTTTGAGTTGCTCACTGACGTCACATGAGGCTGCGGAGCAAGGGACAGTGATGGGTTTCTCTTGTCAGAGTAAATGGGTTCAGGAATCAACCGATCTTTGAGAGGAATGTCAGAGCCGCTAGTGTGAAGCATGATGGGAAGCTGAGAGGGATCGACAGAAAATCTTGATGAAGAATCAAAGGTTAACCTTGACGAGGAGTCAAAGGTGACTCGAGATGGCAAGGTCATGTGATGATTCAGCTCACACCTTGCGCTGAGGGATAGAGACACCCTTCGCTCCAAATGCTGAGATTCCTCCTCAGCCATGTGGCCATTTTGAGTGACAGATGATCGGTAATCCTCGGGCCCCATCCTCCGTGAATCAATCGCATCCTTTGGTGGAGAGGAGCGTTGTCCTCCATTATACACCAGTGGAGGAAGTCCGTTACTAACGATAGAAGTTGGTACCCCGTGGACTGGGGAGTGTCTCCCATCAGAGTACAACAGGACTGGTGCACCCAGGTGTGAGCTGGACTCCACAGGAGGGGGCGGGAGTTGAAGGTCATGGCCGAGTGTAGATGGCGCCTCCAGTATTCGTTCCTCCCAGCGGCCAGGTTGAGTCACCCCTGTTAAACAAAGAATAAACTGTTAATATTGTAAATTTCAGTGAATAGAAGTAGTCACTTGGTTCACGTGTGTGAGAGTGGAAGAATGTATCATGAATGAAATGTCCAGGTGTGTTGACATGAGGTTCTCTACTACCTTTTATGTGACTTTTCTGTGAACAAACAGAACGCCATTCAACCTGTTCTGCATATTTGCAGCTAATGAAAAAGTAGTAGTAGTTGTTATTGCTGTTGTTATCGATCAAGCAACACCTGGGCTCTAGCCCTTCTGTTCAATGCCATGTAGTGATAAGTGCAGGTTTGCTGCCGTTGCTGCAATGTTCCATAGAATGTGTTGTTCATGTTGGGTCATGGAGGGAGAAGTGTAGCTCTGATGTCATTTAGGGCAGTGCAGTGGAAAAGGTGATGATCCACAGTCTCATATATGCATAGTCACTCAAAGGACACATTGGGGATGAAAAATTAGTAAAAGTGTGAACACAATATCTGAAGATCATCTCTCTTAGCATTAGAGATTAGTTTATTGTTTTATCCTATCTTCATATTTGCAACTTGTGCTCAAAACTTTTATGTTATTTTTATGTACCTACAAATTTGAGCATATAAATGCATAATACCTCCATCTGTCTACTAGGAGGTTACATCCCACTCAGCTCAGGTAAGCCCTGGGTCAAAGCAGCCAGCCTCCAAATGATCTTAATTGTGTTGATAAGGACATGAAACACACACAACCACACATTTTTGCCCTTTACCTCTGTACATGGGAGGTTCTCTCGGTGGACTGTGGGGCCTGGCCATGTTTTCTTTGATGACGTCGTCTTTGCAATATGGCACTGGGTCGCAGTCCCAGGATCTTGTGGCTAAAGAGATTAGATAGTAAAAACAATATGCGTAAATTTGCTTGTCGTTTGAGATTGACTAAAGAGAAGCACATTAACACCACTATAACTGTCATTTAGTGGGCAGGAAAGCAAGAAAGACAGGCAGAAACAACAGAGGGGAAGAAAAGTAATAGAACTTACCAGTGGCGCCCTCCAACCACTCATCTAAATTTTTTTCATTGACACTTGAAAAGCCAAACTAAGTACAAGTAATGTAAAGGTGATACAGTTATAACAAATCCTAAACAATTACAAATGACAAATTATGAAATTGTTAACTATCCATCCCAGTTCTCCCCCTTCATTATCCTGCAATCTTTGATTCCACCCTTCAGTTGCATACCCCCC